GCTACGTGTCACTCGCCCATACATCATGGACTAGTAGAAATGTGATACAGGGATAGGGGGGGTTTTTTTGACTAAGATTGCAAAAGGGACGAAAAAGAAAAAGAGGCCTTTAGGTATAGAAAGAAGGGATTTCTTAGTCATAGGTCAGAGAGGAAAAGTTGTTTTTTTTTCTAAAACATTAAACCTCACCTATTTATATTAGAGATTACGCGTTCGCTTGTGTATATTACGTAATCTTACACGTCTTACATATCTTATATGCAAAAATATTATCACGTGATGATAATAGGGATAGTCACGTAGTAAAAAAATTACGAATTTGCAGATCACGTATTATAAACCGGAAATTTCACTCTACACGAGTGGCGCAAGGATGCATTTCATGTGACCGAAAATAGGAAAAAAAACTCTGCTGACGGATTATTCTAATAGTGAAAAAAGTTTTGTTGATTAGCAATATTATGGATATAGGGATGTAAAAGTCCGGTCCTGGTCCTGGTTTGATCCCAGTCTTTCGGTTCTGGTTTTAAATTCTTTTCCTATTGCAGATTATAAACGATTACCGTTAATAATATATAAATCTTCTTTAATATAACAATTGAAAATAAGAATAAATATAAATTTTTATAATTTTTGTGCACATATAACTTATTCTTCATTATGTTGTTTGAAGAGGAACATATTGAAGAAATTACTTTAAATTTCAATGATTTCGATAATTTTGATAATTCAATTGATTACAACGACAATATGACACAACAAAGTAATATAGATGAGCAATCTTCAATTACTAGTTCTGCCACGTCAACAGAAAAAGTACGAAATTATAAAATTGCAGAAATTTGGTTTTATTTTGACAAATACTTTACAATATCCGAATCATCCAGTTTGTAAAAGTTGTGGAAATGTTTTTTCAAAAAAAACAGGAAATTCTAGTCTTCAATGGCACCTTAAGATAAAACATGGAATCAATGTAGAAAAAGTTATGGAAACAAAACAAACTATGTTTTCTTTCCATCACATCAATCCACACTTACCAGAAGATCAAAAAACCCATAATAATGTTGTAATAACCTGGATAATCGCAAATCAACAATCCTTTTCTGTTATAGAAAACAAGTATTTTAAAAAAATGATTTATACCTTCGATCCAAAGTACAAATTTCCATCACGGGCTAATATTAAAGAAATGGTGATTACTTACTTCAATACACGTCGACATCTTATTAAAAATGATATACTGTAAGTCAAATTCCAGGCAAAATATCTCTTACTTCTGATATGTGGACTTCAACCTTAACACAAGAAGCTTTTCTAGGTCTTACGATTCACTATATAGATCACAATTGGAAATTATGCAATTTTTTACTTGACATAATACCATTTAAAACTCGACATTCAGGGCTTAATATATCTAGTTCTATAACAACAATTTTGCATGAATTTAATCTTTTTGAAAAAATATTAAGCTTAACTACTGATAATGAATCTGCAATGATTGTATGTGATAGATTATTAGCACAAGAATTAGAAGCTAATTTTAATAATTTGGATTTTCGACATTACCGATGTGCAGCCCATATTCTCAATTTAGGAGTGCAACAAGGAATTCAACTTTTAGGTACCGAAATAAATAAAGTTCGTGAATTAATGTCAAAAATTAAGATGTCAGTTAATTTAAGCGATAATTTTAGAGCACTATGTACTTTAAAAAATTTAACATATTTAAAACCTGAGCTTGATATCAAAACTCAGTGGAATAGTACTTACTTAATGTTATAAAAATTAGTGGATATGGATCCCGCACTCAAACTTCTTGCTGCAGATAATAGAAATATATCTTTATTATATCCAATGGAAATTGAATGGATATATATTAAGGTAAAATTTATGTATTTTTTTTTTTTTTTTAATATTTATAAATTTAAATTTATTAATTAACATATATTTATTAACTATATAGGACGTATTAATTTTATTAGAACCATTATTTAAAGCTACACAACTTTTATCTGCCACTTCTTATCCAACTATTGGAGATATTCGTTTTTTATTTATAAGTATTCAAGAACATCTTACATATTATATGGAAAAAGAGGATTTTAGTTAGAATATGGTTGCTTCTTCGATATTACAGAAATTTGAAGAATATCAAGAACTATTGGATGAATCAACTATAATCGCTACAATTCTTGATCCACAGATTAAATTATCTTTATTTGAAACAGATAAAAAAATTATATTATTGGATAAATTAATTATAATCGCTACAATTCTTGATCTACAGACTAAATTATCTTTATTTAAAATAGGTGAAAAAACTACACAAGCAATTGCATCCTTGGAATCACAAATGTGCTTATATTTTACCTCTATACCAAGTTTATCTTTCAAATCTAATTCCAAAGATTAAGTGATTTCGACAAGAGAATATTTCAATCGACTCAAACGTAATCGAATAGAAGCTACAAAAAATATACAAGTTCAACCAATGAATTCACAAACATTACAAAATATACCATCTAATAATGAACTTGAATGATACCTTATATCCCATGTAGATGAAAATACATCACCATTATTATGGTGGCAGGCACATGCAATTGAATTTCCGATTCTATCAAATATTGCACGAGATTATCTTGCAATACAAGCTTCTAGTGTTGCTTGTGAGCAAGCATTTTCAGTTGCTGCAAATACAATATCAAAAACACGAAACTGTTTTTATCCAGATACAGCTCGAGCAATTTTATATACAAAAAGTTGGATTCTTAATAATGTTGGCGAACTATAAAATATTAAACTTAATAAAGATAATCTTTTGTACATATTATTAATGTACTGATATTACATAATAATAAGATCTACAGACTTCAGTCCTAAATTAGAACTTGGTCTTTTGGTT